ACACAGTTATTTTGTTTGTTAGTAAAGGCATCTCACAGTGTGTGTGTGTGAGTGTGAGTGAGAGAGAGAGAGAGAGAGAGAGAGAGAGAGAAAAAAGGAATGACCAAAAGAAGTCATGTGAGAGCTTGTGTGTAAAAGCCCACTCTGAGTTTATCAGATGGATCCTGTATAGTGAAAGCTACCAAATCCAATACATGTTACGAACATTAGCAGCATGTCATACATGACCAATAGGGTTTTGCTAAACTTTAAGCAAAATGTGTTTCTTTTATTTCAGCAAGACCTTTATATCACATATATGATTATATCACATATATAATAGATATTTTAATATAAATATTTCAGTAATAAATATATGCATTCTGTCTATCACACAAGGATACATTAATATATAAACATATATTTTAATATTTTAATAACATTAATATATAAACACATATTTTATTACAAATATTTAAATTATAAATTATAAATATTTGCATTCCATATTTTATATACAAATACATGATTTATGACAAGCATATGTTTATAATATTGAATGATATCATACAAATTTACTAGTACTAATAACAATAGTAAATTACTATTTAAATATGGCATCTTACTGCTGCAATAAAATATTTTAACTTACTATTCATTTTATTTGCTATTACTATTAACTAAATAGACTAAAAAACTTGATAAAAATCTAATCAGTTCAAAGTATAAAACAACAACAAAAGTTCACCTTTCACAATATAATCAGCTTCGAATGGATACAAATAATCCTTTTTCCCCCTCCATGAATCACATATTCCATTTAGAAACACATCACAATAAGGAAGTCAAATGGGTCACAAATGCTATTTCATGTTGAAGACATGCTATATGCCTTACATCTTTGCACACTTAAGGTAGGACACGTAACCTGTCTAAATTCAGCAGAGAGGCCTGCTTGTCTGTGCCTGCTTCTCAACTACAGATGAAACACACCCATTTTTCTTTTTTGACCCTGCATTCAACCTGGAAAATGAGTTTCAATTTTGAGTTATGAAACCAGTGTCGGTCTTATATATCACTACATGTTAACAAACATGTCCTGTCTGACAGCATCTTTACATGCACATGTAAAACTAAAGGTCAGCAGGTCACTCCTGAACATAACAAATGACTTAGAGTGTAAAAATATTCCACATCACATAAAATGATGTGCAGCTAACACTGCTGAACGTTTTATTCTTGATTGCATAGATTACAGGTGGAGCTCAGAAGCACCGCAGTGCAGTGAAATGATGAAGAGGAGGAGGAAGAGAGCTGTAGGAGTCATCGAGGATGAGGAGCTACAATAAGAGGGTCAGACACTGAGCTCTGTGGGAGTGCCTGTCCATTACTGTCTTGGTGGGCTGAAATGTACCTGCATTCCACAGCAGCAGGAGTGCTCTCTCCTAACCCCTCACGTAAACGCACTCGCTGACAGTCAGTGCACCCATCCGCACACTCACCCCTGGCCTCTCGCCCACCTCTCCCAACATGACAGAAGGGCAGGCGGGGGAAAGTGGGTCAGGCTGACCTCCTCGTCCCGAGTATCAAGCGCTCAGCATGAGTCAAAGGGACAGGCCGTGTCGCAGTGGAGTTCTTTAAATTATGGGGGGGGGGGTCTGGAAACTGATGATGACTTGATTGCAGGATAAAACACATTGTAACGTCTGAAGGTCTCAATGTAAAGGGTCTCTAGATGGCAGAGCAGAGATATATATATATATATATATATATATATAGGGTTGGGGAGTAATGAAATACATGTTTGTTATAGTTACATTTTAAATGGGTGGTAATCAAAGTACAGTTACATCCGTTAAGTATTTTTGGCTGTGTTTACACTGCAAGTCTTAATACACAGACTCGATCTTTTGACCCGTCTGTTTACATTCACTTTAGACACGACTGGTATCCGATATCTCTGTTTACATTAATTCTCGCCCAAAATGATTTGATCGCTTTACTATGCACATGGTAGACCCTCAGTTTTTGAATGTCCGTACTATTAAAATAATAAATATAATTCACATTGAGTGGCTATTATTTTTTGCCAGCATGGACAACAGCTGTCATGGATGTTTTGCAGCATAAAATCTGATTGAATGGATAAAGACGGTAAAATAATGGTAATCTTCATTTGTTATTTTATCTATAGTTCATTAGATGTAGAATTATGAAGTGAAATAAAGTAGTGCTGTAAGACTCTATTTATTTGAATGAATTCGAACAAATCAACGAGAAAGAGAGGGAACACACGAACGAGTAGCCTAATAGTGAAGCTTGCTGGTTTAATTACAAAAGCTGCCAAGTCGTCATCTCATTGCTGAGAAATATAGTGTAGCTTTTAGTAGCAAAGCTGTTGCATTTATACAATTCACAGGGCAGGGATTGAAATGTTGCTATGTCCTGAATGTTGCAGATCTCATGTGGATTTTTGTGTTTACACGTGTGCAACAAATTCGGATCTGTGTCAGATGTGAGCAATATATCTGACTTTTGTGCCTGTGTAAACGCAGCCTTGGATTACCAAAGTGATTACTTTGAATTTAAATGTAATTTATTTTTAATATTAATGTAAAATGTTTGAAAATTTTTGACCAGTGAGGCAAACTGGTGTTTCTCTGACTCTTAAAAAAAAAAAAATAATAAGTGCAGCCTGTTGAATTAGCAACCAGGGTGCAGACGATAGTCATGACTAACAAAAATGCAGGAGAAAATCAGAAAGCCAAGCGTGTAATGCATTTTTGTCATGGAAATACAAAGACTACTTTACCTATAAATGTGAAAAAGGACGAAACATTACAGTGCAATACAATTTTGTTTCCTGCAACAAAACTTCTCTTGGCTTCAAAGGAACATCTAAGCTTGAAGATGTTTAAGCTAGTTAAGCAATATCAATCGAGGAAGAGTGCTGTTTTCCCGAATATTAGCACGATTGCAAACGTAATACTAATTTTATGCAATTCAAAAA